ATCGATCTATATCACTTTAAGGAACATTTAATTTTTGACCCATTTTCTCATTTTTTATAAGGGGGTGCATCAGTTATTTTTGGGAATCCGATTTTGGTCAAAAATACTAGTTTTTTTGTGGTTTTTCAGCCGTAGTTTAGCCAAATCAAGGCGTACATCTAAAAGACCTACTGTTTTGAGCAGCTTGCTAAAAATGCCATCGATCCCTATCACATTAAGGAACATTTAATTTTTGACCCATTTTCTCATTTTTTATAAGGGGGTGCATCAGGTTTTTTTGGGAATCCGATTTTGGTCAAAAATACTCATTTTTTGGTGGTTTTTCAGCCGTAGTTTAGCCAAATCAAGGCGTACAGCTAAAATACCTACTGTTTTGAGCAGCTTGCTAAAAATGCTATCGATCTATATCACTTTAAGGAACATTTAATTTTTGACCCATTTTCTCATTTTTTATAAGGGGGTGCATCAGGTTTTTTTGGGAATAAGATTTTGGTCAAAAATACTCATTTTTTGGTGGTTTTTCAGCCGTAGTTTAGCCAAATCAAGGCGTACAGCTAAAAGACCTACTGTTCTGAGCAGCTTGCTAAAAATGCTATCGATCTCTATCACTTTAAGGAACATTTAATTTTTGACCCATTTTCTCATTTTTTATATGGGGGTGCATCAGGTTTTTTTGGGAATCAGATTTTAATCAAAAATACTCATTTTTTGGAGGTTTTTCAGCCGTAGTTTAGCCAAATCAAGGCGTACAGCTAAAATACCGACTGTTTTGAGCAGCTTGCTACAAATGCTATCGATCTATATCACTTTAAGGAACATTTAATTTTTGACCCATTTTCTCATTTTTTATAAGGGGGTGCATCAGTTATTTTTGGGAATCCGATTTTGGTCAAAAATAGTCATTTTTTAGTGGTTTTTCAGTCGTAGTTTAGCCAAATCAAGGCGTACATCTAAAAGACCTACTGTTTTGAGCAGCTTGCTAAAAATGCTATCGATCTATATCACTTTAAGGAACATTTAATTTTTGACCCATTTTCTCATTTTTTATAAGGGGGTGCATCAGTTATTTTTGGGAATCCGATTTTGGTCAAAAATAGTCATTTTTTAGTGGTTTTTCAGTCGTAGTTTAGCCAAATCAAGGCGTACATCTAAAGGACCTACTGTTTTGAGCAGCTTGCTAAAAATGCTATCGATCTATATCACTTTAAGGAACATTTAATTTTTGACCCATTTTCTCATTTTTTATAAGGGGGTGCATCAGTTATTTTTGGGAATCAGATATTGGTCAAAAATACTAATTTTTTGGTGGTTTTTCAGCCGTAGTTTAGCCAAATCAAGGCGTACAGCTAAAAGACCTACTGTTCTGAGCAGCTTGCTAAAAATGCTATCGATCCCTATCACATTAAGGAACATTTAATTTTTGACCCATTTCTCATTTTTTATAAGGGGGTGCATCAGGTTTTTTTGGGAATAAGATTTTGGTCAAAAATACTAATTTTTTGGTGGTTTTTCAGCCGTAGTTTAGCCAAATCAAGGCGTACAGCTAAAAGACCTACTGTTCTGAGCAGCTTGCTAAAAATTCTACCGATCCCCATCACTTTAAGGAACATTTAATTTTTGACCCATTTTCTCATTTTTTATAAGGGGGTGCATCAGGTTTTTTTGGGAATCAGATTTTGGTCAATATACTCTTTTTTTTGTGGTTTTTCAGCCGTAGTTTAACCAAATCAAGGCGTACAGCTAAAATTCTATCGATCCCTATCACTTTAAGGAACATTTATTTTTTGACACATTTTCGCATTTTTTTATAATCATTTTTTTTTTTTGCAAAAAATTGCAAAATGAAAAACTTTTAGTTTCGAATACCAATGGCTTGCAAATTAAAATTCGAGCCTGACGAAGTATACCATTCCTCATTCTGACATTTATTTTTACTACAACAGCCAAAAACCGCATTTTTTATGTCGGTAAAATTAAATTCAGATTTTAGTCAAAAATACTCTTTTTCTTTTCCGTTTATCAAACGAATTTGCTTAGTTTTGAGCCACTCGTATTTTTACATTGTCAATCAGCGAAATGAAACGCACAGAGTCGCAGCATTTACTTTTCTGGATTAAATATGGAACCTTGGAGTAAACTTTTAATTAGCCCTCTGTGTTGAGTAACTTTTTGAGGAGTTTTCACCGGCGAAAGTTTATTAAGTTTGCAGAAAATTGCATTCGGTTAGAGGAGTGTGTCTGCACAAAGAGCCAAAGTGGCTGCCAGGTGTTGGGACGTGTTTTTAGACCGGTGCCAGGCGATTGGCGATTGGGCTGATTGGAAACGTAATCGGAGGTGAAACAAATGCAGCCTCCCAATAGCCACTCCTGCGCTTTTCCGCTTTTCCCCGTGACCTCGACAGTTGCTCCGGCTTAGCCACAAACCGGACCGAAGGACATACGGGGAAAAAAAGTGGGGAAAATTGAGTTGAAAATTGTTCGTGGCACACACTTCAGAGGCAAGGCAACGCAAATTGACAGCTGTCAATCAACCGGTCGCCCACTTGAGCTTCCTGCCAGGTGCCATTTCTCCATTTCACCATCCTCTATCTCGAATCCTCCTCCTGGGGATCCTCCAGATGACGTGGATAAAGTCATGCTGGAGCATCCTGCAGATTGCCGGCTGCCATTGTGCACCTGAAATTGATTAAGCCCTGACCCGAACTTTTCTCAAGTTCAAAAATCCAGAAGCCAAATATAGCTGGCAAAGTGCACTAGCAAAAATGGTCACAATAAACAATGCTTAAATAAGAAAATATTAGCCATAAATAAATTTAAATCGATAGCCATGAATTTTCTTTAAAATTTGAAATCATTACCAAAGAATCTTTAATTTTTTGCAATAAAAACAATAATTCAAAAATTCAGTATAGCTAGACAATCTAAAACTCAAAATATAAAAGGCATTCAACAAAATACATTGCTATTATTTATTTATTTTATAGACCAATTTTCAATTAACCATAAATAAACTTAAAACAATAGAAACTCGTGTGAATTCTGTTTAAAATTTTAAGCCATTGCCAAAGAATATCCCATCTTTTGTAATAAAAATAATAATTCAGCAATAGCTAGACAAACTAAAACTCCATATATAAATGGCATTCAAACAAAACATTTTGCTATTATATATTTATTTTCTAAAATTCTAAATTCTTTTAATGTCTAACCAATTTTCTTTAAAATTTTAAATGAATGAAAGGACCATCGAGTTTAGCTAAAAGCACTTTAAGTTGTCATTGTTTGGTAGTTGTTTATTATTCAAAGCTTACAAACAGTCGTTTTAAATTCTTGTAAGGACAAACAATTCTCTATGAATCTTTAAATGATTAGAAAATACCTGCAAAATAGAAACTGGACAAAGGATAACTCCGTATTAAAAAAAACTACAAGAATTTCAGCTTAAGGCATTCCCAATAAAAAGCTTAATTACAAGTGCCTGGAAAATGCGAAAAATGAAACATCATCCTGCCACTCAAAAACGTACAAATTGCAGGGCTTCAATCGAAATGTGTCCACTTATTGGGTTCAAAATTGCTTTCCTCCCCGGGCATTTCACAATTCCCACAGAGAAGGAGAAAAAAGAGTGGGGAAACTTTGGTGCCTGGAACTACTTTGGCCAAGTGTTTCATTGACTGGCCGGGGGAACTTGAGCTCGGACTTTTATGAACCTGCCACACACTCGACAACTTCCGGTGTCCTTAAACACACACACACATATGTGTATAGACACATTGAAACACCCTTGTGGTTGAAAAGAGGGTGAGGTGTAGGTCCTGCCGTCTGGCAGTTATTAAGTTTATGGCCATAAACTTGCGGCCAAATAAGTTGATACTCTCCATTTTGATTGCCCCGAGCATTAACTCATCTGGAATTCTGCGTAGACGGTTTCCATTTGGCATCTGGCCCAAGTGCCGCCATCTGTTGGCCAGAAACTGTACAGGCTGAACTCAACCACATCATCCATCAACAAACAAAAAGAAAGTCACAGCTGAAAGAGAAATGCTTGACAGGCATTGCTTATAACAAAAACTTTCTTTAAAAACGTACCTTAAAAAATATTAATATTTAACATTTTTTTGACTTCACGATTGATTATGATACATGGATTCTTAGCTTGGGGTAGATACCTTTATATATATGGATAAAATATATCATACCTCAGTCACAATTTCTGAATTAAACTAAAAATGTATTCAAAAATATTTAAGTCACATTTTAACCTTAAGGAAGTTAATTATTTATTGAATAATATTTAAATCATATTTTTAACTTAAGGAAGTATATATTTAGTAAAATGAGATCTTAATTAAATTTTCCCAAAAATATTTCTACATTTTCAAAGCATTTTCTTTCAGTATGCAAAATACCAAGACTGGTCAAAAAAATCTATTTTATTATTTGTGCATTATTAACAAGGCAACAAGAGGTTTCTACTTATATTCTCAGTTATAAGTATCAACTTAAATTGTGGCAACCTTTTGAGAAATGAAGCATTGTACTTTGGTCCCTCTTATATTTCTGAAGAAATAAATACAAATATGTATTGATTTCTTAACAAGTTTCTTAAGGCAATTTGCGTATAAAGGATTTAGCCAATTAAAATGTGCAAAAAAGGAGTTGAAATGGGAAGGGAAATGTTTATATATGCCTTACAAAAATAACTAACAAATTAAAATTAAATCCATACAAGCGTCCCCCAAACACATATACAATTTCTTTATTTATTTTATATTTACTTATTTTATTATGATTACTTTTTCTGCTTTTACCTAAGTATATCAAATAATTATTGAAAACATTAAGTATTTAATAGAATATTGTTATACCCCCTACTTAACCTGTAGTTCGAACCATTTAGTAAATCCTTTTGTAAATTGAGATTTGCCAACCATTCGATATATGAGCCCCATCCAAAGCGTTTTAAACCACCAACAACTATTTTCTTCGATTTTTTTCCAGTGTATCTCTGTGTCTCTGTGTGTGTAGCAAACCAATCAGAACCCCCCTCCCAAAAGCCCCACTAATCAAAACCAAAAACACAGACCTAATCACCGCACTTTCGGCTAGCCGAAAACCGAAAAACCGAATAAACGAAACCCCCGAAACCGCATTATAACCGCATCGAATCGCAGAAAAAGGAGGATTTAGAAGGCTGGGGCGGCAGGAGCCGAAGGATACCTATAACTAGACCGATACCGCTCACTTCCGAGGATCGAACATGCGCCATGTCAAAACTGCGGCATTACCGGTCCATGGATCAGCCCTGCAGCAGCACCTGCGTGGTCATACGCAAAAAGTTAGCAACGCCACCTGACCTCAAAAATCAGCGGATGCGCTTTCAAACTTTCAAACCTAAAAACCACTAACTAAATCAAGCTTTCCTCTACTCTACGCTTTCCTCTAAGACACTGCACGCAAAAACTGAAAACAAATGAAACTTTCACAGCCAGGACTCTCACCTTGGAGCTTTCACATCCTTATTCATATATCCTCGAAACTTTCACCGCATGCCACACACACACAGCTTTCAGCAAACTTTGAGCCTTGGGCTTTCGCATGCAAAGCTCTCTTCTTCCTTGCAAAAGAGCTTTTCCAGCCAGCTAAACGCCGATCCAAAAATAACACCTGCCATTCAGCCATTCTTCTTCGCATGACTCTGTCCATCCTTCAATTTTCCTATTTTTCTCACTTCTTTTTAAACTGCATGCCTTCTTTAAGATATTATGTTACCCATAGGGATTTTTCTGGAATTTACTAACCAGTTTTTTACAATTTTCCAGGACGATGACGGCCATTTGCTTCGTGTGCAACCTGCCCATCATGTCGCACCAAGTGGGCTTGGTGTGGCAGGGCGGCAACGGCTGGGACGATCTTGTGCGCGAACAGGTGGGTCCTATCAGTCCTTAAAAATATCAAAAACTTATCAAAATATAATAAATTCATGTATATATTTAAAAATATCGAAGAGTGTATAAAACTATCATGTGAAAACTAAAAATAGTTATAAGTAACCGGCTATTCGTGGGGGCCTTTGAAAAATGGTGCAACAAATCGTAGAGCCCCCTGCCCATCGAAGGTAACCGAAAATGCTTTTAAGTGGGAGTTTTTTAAGTGCTATATAGAAGTATAAAGAAAACCTGATGAAATGTGTTGCTTTGAAGCAAAATACATTTGAGCTTACTCCAAAAAAGATAATATATACTTAAAACGAGCCAAAGTTACATTTATTTTAAATTTATGGTTTTTCTTTTGTCTAATAAAAAATGTAAGAAAACATATTGCATTCAAATTTGTTATTACATTTTTGAATTTACTACAACAACGGAAGATTTAAAACAAAACATACATGACTTAACTTGATTATGATCTTAGTTTTATATACTTTAAACATTTTAAGTCAATATAAAAATTAGCTTCACACAAGAAATCAAAATTTTAAAATATAGGTTTTAAATCTTTAAATAAACTATAATTTATAAAGTAATAATTCCACATTTCAAAGTAAAAAAACACAAAGGATAAAAAACACTGGTGAAACACATTTAAATAGATTATTAAATATTTGGAATTGCTACGTTTTTTGTCAGTGTATGAAAAATACGATAAAGGTGCCTGAAATGTCCGTCTTTCCGTAATGAAATCCTGGAATTTTTAAAGGTCTTACCTAAATCAAAAATTTTAAAAGCCTCTAAAAATAGCTTCACATTAAAATCAAAATTTTAGGTCAGCTATAATTCCTAAAATTATTACCACCACATTTTAAAATAACAAAGAAGGGGAATGGATAAAAAATACTGCCAAAACATATTCAAATTGAATATAAAATATTTGGAAGCAGCACGTTTTTCTGTCAGTATATAAAAAATAATATGAAGGCTGCTGATTAAAAGTTTTTAAAAAAACATCTGAAAGTTGTTGGCTGTTTAAAATTCAATCAAATGAGTATTCGTATTTTTCCAAGCTTAAATTCATTTTTAATTGTTAAAAGAATACAAGAATTATATATTTTGAAAATGTTTGCCCTCAATAAATTATTAAATTAAACTTTTTCTAAATTATCTTACCTTTGCTTCCAAGAACTGTTTGAACAAGATCACTAAAAATACATTTTAAAATGATTTTTTTAAATTTTTATTTTAGAAAATTAGATCTATTGTATAATATTAAGTCTAACCGGTTTTCATATATAATAAATAATATTAAGTCTAACAGGTTTTCATGTAGATTTGAGTGCTGGTGTCTGAGACCTTCGCCTCTGTTTTAAATGTCTTATCTCTGTAAATTGTTTAAAAGAAAAATAAGGAACCTACCTTTTTAGTATTTTATATATGAAAGTTATACCATCTTGTCCCGCTTCCAGCTGGAGGAGTCGACCATCCGGCAGCGGCTGGGCGGGCGGCGGGACTCGGCGGCGCAGATCACCACCCCGCCGAGCACGTCGCCGCCGCCGGGCCTGCAGCGCCGCCGTCGCAGCTCGCTGGCCCAGCTGACGGACATCCTGCGCGAGTGGAGCGGCGGCACCAAGACGCAGCAGCACCAGCACCACCAACAGCAGCAGCAGCAGCAGGCGTCCCGCTCCAAGGCGCAGCTGAACCGCCGCGAGACGCTGGCGGACCTGGCCCGCAGCCTCCCCTGGCGCACCTCCACCACCACGGACGCCAGCACGGGGGCGGGAGGGGGTGGGGGCTCGGGCGGAGGCGGCTGCACCACCTACATGGCGCCCCGCAAGCGGCGGGAGTCCTCCGCGGACTCGGGCATCCGGAGCATGCGGTCGCGCCGGGACTCCAATACCGCCGAGTTCGTGCGCCACTGGAATCGCCGCGAGAGCGGGGCAGTTGAGGAGCAGCCCAGCAGCTGCGTCGCCGTGCCCGTCGTCGTCGAGTGCTCTAAAAGCGTGAGTATAGGGGGATATTAAATATATATATAGGTCTATATGGGTCACCAGAGATCCCAAAAGGATCTATACAGCCCTATGAGTTGCAAAGCTTTGGGGGTCGCAGGCAAACACTCTCGATGGGAAGACCAATTTCAACTCAAAAGTTAGCGCATATAGGGAAATTATTTAGTTACTTCCCAACTGTAATTTAGATCTTCGTAATGCTCAAAGATATTCCAATTTCATGTATTTGACATACACATAAAAAGTATTTCGTAATGCTCAGAAAACAATAAAAGTTATACCCTTAAAATTTTTCAAAAAACATCTGAAGAAAAGAAGTTAAGTTATTCTAGTAAATATTGTTTTTTAAATATTTTTTTAATTTGTTGAAAAATATTTGCAACTTAAATCCAACACACAGATTGTTTAATACTTTTAAATTCTTAGAAAAATATTTTAAATGTAATTGAATATTTTCAATTTATAATACTCCATAGCTAATTGAATAAATTTATTTAAATTCTGTTTTAAATATTTAAAAGCTAAATAAATATTTTAAAATTCTTTAATATATACATTTACACTTTACAGGCTTACATTTTCAAATTCAAAAAGCAATACCTATTATAACTGCATTTTTCTAAATTCTTTGATAAATATTTAAAAGCTAATTCAATATTTTAAAATACATTGCTAAATATTTAAGAGTTTATTGACTATTTTAAAATTCCTTAGTTAATACTTCTTTCAAAGCAACTAAAATATTTTATATAATTTTTGACATATATTTTATAAAGATTAAAAAGAACTCAGATAATACTGAAATCCAGCTTAAAAAATGTTGTAAAATATAGAGTTATGTACCTTTAAAATTGGCCTCCAATCGAGGGCGTTTGCTAAACGGCCCAGTGGGTATTGCCCTAACCTTTGACTCCACCTTGACCACCACCTCGACCCCTAACCCGTGGCGCTGTTCTCTCTCTCTTTTCCCAACCACTCCACTCCACACCAAACTACCGCACCTCCTGGCCTCCACCAACCAACGAACCACCGAAACCACCGAAACCACCAGGCTTCCCGGCGCGGATCCGGTGAGAGCTACCTGTCCGGCAGCCGGCGCGATAGCAACGTGGCCGGGCGGGTGACCACGCCCCCGCCTCCGGGCAAATACCAGATGGCCAAGAAGCGCGACTCGCTGGCCGCGCCGGAGTTCCCCAATTTCCGGCAGGAGCAGCGCCCGTCCACCAGTTCCGCCGGCTCCTGCTCGGACCACTCCATGCCCCTGATCTCGACGCACTCGAGCACTCACCACCTGGCCCACCAGCAGGTGGACTCCGCCTGCCAGGCCCTGCCGCCGCCGACGATCATCACCAGCTCCGTGACGCCGCCGGCGACGAGTCCGACGGCGCCGAAGGGTCGCCGCGATTCGCAGACGCAGTGCGGCCGGGTGAATCGCCGTGACTCCAAGGCGGGCGTCAGTCCGGAACGTGCGCCACGCCTCCAGCGCCTGCAGCGACAGGCGACCGCCTTCGACGAGGGTTGCCTGCCAGGGGGCAGTAGGCGTGGCTCCCAGCCCGCCCTCAGTCCCGATCCGCCGGATGACTGTGGTGAGCGGAGGACCTCGAGGCGGGACTCCCTATCGCCGGACAGCGCCTCACGCGGCGGTCGGAGGGATTCGAGGACCCACCTGTCACCGGATAGATCCCATGAGCGGGACGGCAGTCCAAGGCGACACACGCTACGCCGGCAGAGCAGCTCGGCGGCCAGGTCACCAAGGTCGCCGGACTCGAACAGCTGCTGCTCCTCGCGGGATCACAGTCCCAGCTCGCGGCCACAGACGCAGACCACCGTGGAGCAGAATCAACGGCCAGCGATCCGGAGGCAGTCCACCACCGAGGAGATCCTCATCGCCCGGGGATTCCGGCGACAGTCGACCACCGAGGAGATGATCCGCTGCAGGAACTTCCGGCGGCAGAGCTCCCAGAGCGACGACGTCTGTCGGTGAGTGATAACTAGTTAAGATAATCAAAATTAGTAAGCCACATAGTACTAAGAAAGGAGAAATAATAGGGGATTATTCTGGAAAAACTCCAATCTGAACTATATTACGCTATCGTTTTTTGGTACACAGAAAAAAATTATAGAATTGATACTGACTTTCACCAAAATTATATCATCAGTCAAAAAATCATCAGATATCATTGATTATTTTGAAAAATTGATACTGATTGATAAAATTGATACTAAATTATATCATTAGATATAATATCATCAGTTATGATATCATCAGATATGATAATCATTTCCATAAATTTTTACCGATGTTGATTGATATTGAACTCATCAAAATTATATCATGAATTGAATTCATCAAAATTATATCATCATATATGATACCATGAAATATGATGATCATTTTGGTGCAATTCAGTATCAATCCTATCGAGATACGGGGCGTGTCTCTCTCGGAGAGTTTCGAATATTGCTGTCTTGCTCTAATCCAGAGTACTTTTAGACGCCATCTTGTTCTTTACTCTGTTTTCGACATTTAAAGGGATATTTTAGTAGAGAAATATTATACTAGAACTATAAAAATTAAAATAAAAAAGCATTTCGTGTTCATGAAGAAAGTTTCATAAGTTAAATATGCCTATTATTATTGGCAACCCACAAATCCCAAAATTATACCATTTATGTCAAATATTTATCAGGATCCAAATGAACAGAGCATGAAAGCCAGTTACCATTGAACTATAGGTTTCCTTCCTAAAATTAAAAAATCCTTCGTTAATTTGCTAGCGCTATTTTCAATAAAGAGTGTAACATTATTAAGGATGAAGCACGCAAGAAACAAATTGCATTATAAAATGAACTTTTAATGATGAATATAACTTGTACACCAATAATACTAAAATGATACTTTAATCCTTTTATAGGTATCGCGGCAGACGTGACTCCTCGGCGCAGATAATCGATGGAACCATCGGCACGATGACCGTGGAGACGACCAGTACATTTTTCGACTCCAGCACCCAGACAGGTGAGTCCTTTGGTTAAGGTTTTTTGAACTTTTCCCGCATTCGAGGGTCCTGCCAACTGGATGCAGAGCTTTCCCCAAGCTTCATATATCCTGTGAAGCTCAGAAGCTTTTCCCATTTTCCCTTGGTTGTTGGGGTGAAAGCTGCGCTCAGCTGTTTGGCGCCACGTCAGCTGTTCGCTGGCCAGGACCTGTCCACTCGGCACTCACTTCATGTCCTTTCAACTCGGCAAGTGCCATTCAGTTGGTGATGAAGTCGCAGACGTGCCACAAGCACCGCAGCAGCCAGTCGAACAAAAAAAAACAAGCAGCCGGCGAAACAAATAAAAATAATTCAAAAAAAAAAATAGAAGAAAGCATACGTAGAAAGTAAATACGTGAGGAGCGGAAGAGCCCAGAAGGACCCAGAGGCGCGGAAAACTATGCTACGATTTTTGGCGAACTATCGTTATCGCCATTGCGCATAAGTGGCTGCGAGTGTGTGCGTGAGCGTTGGCTGACTGCGTGTGTGTGTGTGTGTATATTTTTCATATCCTGCCTAGAATTTTTTTTTGCCTGTGCGTGTGTGTGAGTGTGTCGGCGTGCGAACATTTTTGATTGTTGTACCATCGCATCGAACCGCATCCGCCGAATAAATCCGAGTAAACAACAAACAACAGCAGCGACGTGGCCGAGTACGTCGATGTCGTCGGCGGCAGCGGCGCAGGCAGCGGCGGTGGCGGCGGCAGCGGCAGCGGCGGTACCGCCTGCGTCCCCGCTCCGCTGCGCAGTGGCCGTCGGCAGCCGTCGAGCAGCAGCGCCAGCAGCAGCAGCAATCGCAGCCGCAGCGGTCTGTATATATATCTCACTTGAAATATCTTATCTGGGGAAAATATCTATATATATTTTATAAGGCATCGCGGGCAACTCTTACTTGTTGCATGTGAAAGTGGGTGCCAAGTTCACACACCCAAAAAAACAAGGCCTTAACTCTCAAAAAAGAAATATCTTAAATATTTTTATTACAAATTATAGTATTCAAAGTGCTCTTGAAGTTGGCAAAATCATGATTATATTATATAACACATTTTAATATAATGTTATATGTTAATGTTATAAAAAATATACATGCTAAATGCATTATCTAATGTCAACCCCCATAAAAAACAATGGTTTTTAATGCCAAATTATGGGTTCTTGGGAATACTGTTGAAATTTATGAAGCCAAACCTTCAATGTAGAGGCCTTAAAAGCTAAGTTCACACAAAAAATACCATTTTCAAGGCATTATATTCTAACTTTTAGTATTTCTCTTGAAGATTTTTAGGGCCAGTACTTCAAAACAAATGTTTTTCTTACAATACCTGTTTTACCTTAAATACTAAAAACCATATTACAAAAAAAAACAGTTCAGACAAAAAAGAAATGGAATTGTTTATAAATATACTTTTTTTATTAATCTTAAAAATGCTTCTCATAAAATAAGGCCTTTTCCTATTTCTGTATTGTATATTGTGCCAAAATATAACTTTTAAAATAATTTAAAAAAAATAACTTAAGCAGTAGAGTTAATATAAACATTCTTAAATATATTTCTTTAGAGACCCTAACTTAAATACTAAAATACCATATTACAAAAAAATAAGTTCACACTAAAAAGAAAGGAAATTATAAAGACAATATAAACATACTTTTTTTTATTAATCTTAAAGATGCTTCTCATAATATATGCTCTTTGCATATTTTTCTCTGCCAAAAATTTATTCAAATAATATTTTTTAAAATAACTTAGGCAGTACAGTTAATATAAACATTCTTAAATATATTTCGTTTGAGACCCTAACCACCATTTTCTAAAAAATACTTAGTATTTTATTCTAGCATTTATCTATATTTCATAGCCGTATCTTTTCCATTCGCTTCCCGGTTAAATGGCTTAAATAATAATCGTTGTTTACACTAGACTGTTTTCTGCAGTTTAAGAGGCAAACAGTTTTTCCGACAATTTTCCGAGAGTTTGCCCATTGAGTGCCAAAGGAGTTGGCCTTTTTGGCAGCCGCACAAGGCGCCACGCCCCCTCCTTGTCCTCGCCGCCCCCCAAATGGGTTTTAATGAATGAAAGTGCACTGTCTGCGTGCATGTGTGTGTGTGTGTGTGTGTGCCAGCTAATGTGCTGGTGTTTGTGAGTATCTGTGTGACAGTCGGGAAATGAATGAGTGCTGACTCTTGCCACTCTCTCTCCCCACCTCTCTCCGTGTTATGAATGAAATGCGAAGCGAGTTTGGCCATTACCCACTTTCACCCACTTTCACCGCCCCCCGCCCCCGACCACGCCCCCCGCAGCGCATTTCCCAGCTGGCGGTGCAACAAGTTTTCCTTCGCGATGGCCAGTGAAAAACTTTGCTCGCATTGAAATGCAAAATTTATTGATTAAACTTGTTGCCAGACGGGCGACATTCAAAGCCAATCGAATGGCCGCACTTGGCCAGAGGAGCACTCGAGGTCAGAGTTGAAAAACATGAGTGGCGGTGTAAATATTGAAGGCTAAGATACTTTTATAAATTAGCCAAAAGTATAGGGTAAAGTATAGGTAAATAGAAAATTATTGGTGAGGGAAAAGTAGATTGATGTTATTTTCTTTAGTGATAGTCAGCAGTTCTATTTATTTTGGTTCATTTATTATACTAGTAAATTGAGAGAACTTCAATTTATGAATTATTTTACTTAAATGTTAATTCAAAATTAGTAAAAACGAAAGGAAAAAACTTTTGTTTTAATATAGCTTTTTCATAAGACCTACACAGAGAGAACTCTTACTTTCCTATCTGAGTTGAAAATGTTCTTAAAAATACCACGACTTTTTTAAGATGAAAATGTTTTAATTTTGCTCGAATCACTATGAATTGACGCTATTTACTTTGTATACCTCAAGAAATAAGCTATTAATCCAGTCAGTAGTGTATACTTATCAAAAAGTTGTTAGGTAATCTCATGATAACAAAAATTACTTATGTACACGGTTTTAAAGAACGCATGTTCTCAATTCAAACACAAAATATACTTGAATGTTTCACTCTGCCTTTGTTTCACATAAATCACTCATAAATTAAGAACTGCATAATTTTATTGCTAGGCAATAAAAATTAGAATATTATATAGCTGACCAAAAATGGGAATTATTAAATTAACCTTAGATGCACAAAAGAAAATAGCAATATTAAAAATACTACTAAAAAAACTTGTATTCTTATAGCTTAAAAAACGAATATTTTACATTAAATTTGTAAATTTACTAAATTAAAAATATTTCAAAATGAGCTGCGAATGGCAGAGTTAATTTCCATATTTATAAATGGAACTACTCACTTTTTAACCACTTTACATCATATTATATTGGCACATCGGCAACCCAAAAAATCTTTTAACGAATTTTTAACATTCACAAAAGATTATAAAATTATTAAATTTATAATTTTTCAAAATGATTTGAAAATAGCAGGGCTAATTTCCATATCTATAAATTGAACTACTCCCTTTTCAACCACTTTACATCATATTATATTGACACATCGGCAGCCCGTATGCTCGCCAATTAAGGGCAATTGGTGTCCTGGAAAGGATTTACGGCAAGTGGCTGGCTGAATGTCCTGCTGTCCTTTGTTCACTCACTAATTAATATTGAGTGTGAGCTCTGCAGGGGAAAAATGCTCAAGCACTTGATTTAATTCAAGCAATTAGTCCCTGGTTTGCTATAGCTATTGCCAATTAGGCGGTAATTTCATTTATATCTGCCTTTAAAAAGACAGGCATCTTAACAAATAACAGAAAATGGCAGGACACTCTGTAAATATAATCGTAATTCATCAAATTACGATGCGCAATAACCAATCCATTAGGCTGCAGCTCATCAAGGTGAGCCCTCAAAGGATTATCAACTACAATCGCCAATTGCCGGACTGTAGACCAATTAGTATCTCAACTGCCCATCGATTACATTAATTTTTATAATTGCGTTTTTACGATACACACGAAAGCGCAAGGCAAACAAGCGAGGATGGCCTTTCGGGGTCACGAAATTAATGTTAATTTATTGACAAAAAAGGGGACAATTTTATTACCGAATTCGGATCGATGGAAGTGCCTAACGCAACTGTAGGTCCCGTCAATATAATCCCACCGAAATTAGAATCACTTTATTATTATCTGTCTAGAAAACTTATGGTCTAGAAAGAAGTTCTTGGGAAGTTTTTTATTAAGAGATAAACACTTCTATTTATTTTGGGTTATTTATTATGAGGGAAAAATTCTGTTAATTAACTATTTTCTAGAACTATAATTTTATCTGCTAGAATTAATTATAAATATTTTTAAGTTAGTAAAAGGGCAAAGGAAAACTTTTTTGTTTGAGGACCACATTTTTATTTTCTAAATTAAAAATTAATGGTGCAGTAAAGAGTTCTTTATTATTTTTTATTTAGGGATAATCAGCACTTATATTTATTTTGGTTTATTGAGAAAGTTGCTGATAATTAAAAATTTGTCTTAAACTATGATATCAATTACAAGAATCCATTTTAAATATTTGTTATGTAAGTAAAGGTGCAAAGGGAAAACACATTTGTTGCTTAATAGACCTTAATTCTACTACCAAGAACTACAATACATTTTAAAATTAATTTTAAAACTATCTCTAATACATAAAGAATTGTCTTATTAAATGATAATATAAGTAGATAATATCTATATGGTATTACTAATCATTTTCTTTACTAAATTTTATATATTTTTATAGGCTAGAAATTAAAAAAGGACATTTGTAAGATCATACTTTGTTTTTTGAAAATGATCTCTAACGTTTTTGATCAGTTTTAATGTCAAAGAAACGCACTGTCCCATAACTCACTTCTCGCCAAGGTCAAGTTGTGGCTATTTTCCCCGTTTATATTTTTATGAACGCATCAATAATGGCACAAAAGGAGAATTTGTTTTGCACCTAATTGATTGGCCTGCCAAGATTGATTAAA